CTCCTTGATGTGGGACGACACTGCAGCCGCTCTCTCGTATTCTGAAAAGAAAAGAAAAACAAACAATCAACTCATCTCTTTGCTTCATTAACATACTCCCCCATTAACCGAAACAAGAATAGACAGACACCTCAGTTGATTTTAAATGGAACAATGGGGTCATTTCTCATGAGCACTCGAAATGCTATTGGTTGATATTGGCCGAAAAATATTTTCACAATTACGATATTGGAGAACACGCATCAGATGGTCGCATCGGAGGCGAGTATGCGTTTCATATCATTTCGAATCTTGTCCAGAATAGAAGATCTATCAGTTTAAGATATCGAATCGAACTTGCATGAATACGCTTCGAGACCAATCAAGAATACGCTTCAAGCCTACTGGCCAATCAAGAACTTGCAAGAAAAAATAAAAAGTAGTGGGGGCTTATGAGTTGCTTACACAAAGATTACGTCTCATCAAAAGGTATACAATGACCTTGTGTGAGTGTGGCGATGGTGCTCTCTATCTTCTTAACCTCTGCTGGGTCTGGCTCAGCTGCCTTCATCTCAGCCTCTGTCTTCTTCACCCTAGTCTGGTAGGAGACCAGTTGGTCTTTCAACAACTAAAAAGGCGGCACACATTTCATTCAAAATGCATCTTTTAAACGACAGAAAACCATTCTGTGACCCTAAATGGCCTTCAATCAGATGACTCACCACACTACATGTAACCCCCATGCCTCACACATGCCTGACCTTGATAGTGTGGTGGATCTGTGAGAGTGAGTTCTGCTTCAGATTGAGTGTCTGCTGCTGCCCCTGCAGTCCCTCCTCCAAATCCACCATCTCCTGTCTCACACTCTGCAGTCTGTCTCTTAATTGTGTCTCTTCTTTTTCCCAACTCCCTATCTACCACAAATCCAACTACTTCTTTTATCAACATCTACACCATCTTACATGCAAAGGGCTCCTCAGTCAACATGTTTTAAGTGATTTATGACCTCCCATTAAACGGGCCTTTCACAGTGCGACAAGGCAAACCGTATCAATCATGGTTACATGCTAAATATATTTAAAATAAAATCATATGCAGAATGCTTCAACAATGTGAATAATTATTCACTAGAATTAAGTGAAATGTGTGTTTCACAAACCAGCTAACATTAATGAAATAGAGTATTTTTTCATTTTTCTAACGACTCTTTAATTTTCGAATTAATTAAATTTTGTCCAAGCATTGCAAATATGACTATAATATGCTGACTATAACTGACATCACAAAAACTTTCTGGAACAAACCGACCTGATTAAAGAGAACTAGCGTAACTCGTGCAACTTCTCGTTGGACTTCTTCGAACCATACAAAAAAAACTCAACACAAAGCCAATAGCACGAAGCAAAAGCGAGAAAACGTAAGCATTGCGGATTCCATTGTCTAAAAAATACACACAATAAGTATATTGAATCTTTGTTCCAATGCCAAAAAACTTTTAAATAAACTTTTCCTAAGTGTACAGCTCTTCCCCGAGACAAATTAAGGACCAGCCGCTTGGGCAGGGGAGTTTCCTACAACCTGGTCTATCGATTAAACCCTTAATCCCAAATCTGGATGGGTAGTTTTTGAGGAAATCGATAATTTCCGAAAAAAAGGCCAAAAAAGTCAAAAAAGTGACTTTTCCTAAGTCTATAGCTCTTCCCCTAGACAAATTAGGGACGAGCCGTTTGTGTAGGGGGGTTCCTACAATCTGGTCTATCGATTAAACCCTTAATCCCAAATCTGGAAGGGTAGTTTTTGAGGAAATCGGAAAGATTTGAAAAAAGGCCAAAAAAGTGACTTTTCCTAGGTCTATAACTCTTCCCCGAGACAAATTAAGGACCAGCCGCTTGGGCAGGGGAGTTTCCTACAACCTGGTCTATCGAAAAAACCCTTAATCCCAAATCTGGATCGGTAGTTTTTGAGGAAATCGATAATTTCCGAAAAAAAAGGCCAAAAAAGTCAAAAAAGTGACTTTTCCTAAGTCTATAGCTCTTCCCCTAGACAAATTAGGGACGAGCCGTTTGTGTAGGGGGGTTCCTACAACCTGGTCTATCGATTAAACCCTTAATCCCAAATCTGGACGGGTAGTTTTTGAGGAAATCGGAAAGATTTGAAAAAAGGCCAAAAAAGTGACTTTTCCTAGGTCTATAACTCTTCCCCTAGGCAAGTTAAGGACCAGCCGCTTGTGCGGGGGAGTTTCCTACAACCTGGTCTATCGATTAAACCCTTAATTCCAAATCTGGATGGGTAGTTTTTGAGGAAATCGATAACTTCCGAAAAAATAGGCAAAATCAAAAAAGTGACTTTTCCTAGGTCTATAACTCTTCCCCGAGACAAATTAAGGACCAGCCGCTTGGGCAGAGGAGTTTCCTACAACCTGGTCTATCGAATAAACCCTTAATCCCAAATCTGGATGGGTAGTTTTTGAGGAAATCGATAATTTCCGAAAAAAAAAGGCCAAAAAAGTCAAAAAAGTGAC